TATGCATTATAACTAAGCCTAATGACAGTATATTAATGACTATTAGTATGAAGAATAAATGTTTTCCACTAAATTGGCATCATGTAGGTTTGAATGCAGTTGAGAAGGTTGATTATGATGTGCCCAAGCTATGGGATAGAAGGTTTCTACATTGCAACTACTCAACAATGAAATTATTAAATTTTGATAATTTAGTGACAAAAATGCCACTCATACTTGTTCATTCAGAAATTTGTGAAGTTTGTCAATTGGGGAAACAAACAAGGCTCCCATTTCCTTTGAAAAGCACCAAGAAGACATTAGAAATGCTTGAACTTGTGCATTCTAATGTTTGTGGTCCAATGAGTGTTGAATTACTTAATGGTAGTTAAGTATTATGTGTTGTTCATTGGTGACTACACTAGGGTGACTTGAATTTATTGCATCAAGCTTAAATCTGATGTGTTTTCTGTATTTAAGAAGTTCAAAGCATGTTGAACTTGAATCAGGGTGCAAAATTAAGAATCTCAGAATAAACAATTGTGGAGAGTATTCATCTCTTGAGTTTGATGAGTTCTTAGCTACTGCAGGCATTAGGCATCAGTTTACCATCTTCTATTCTCACTAACAAAATGGAACATATGAAAGGAAGAATAGGACAGTGTTAAATATGGCTAAATGCCTGCTATTTGAAAAATCAATGCTTAAGCACTTTTAGGCAGAAACCACCAATACTGTTGTTTAACTGCAAAACATACTTCCAACAAGGGCATTGAAAAAATTGACACCCTATGAAGCTTGGCACCATGTCAAACTAGCAGTGGATCATCTTAGAATATTTGGTAGCATCTGCTACATTCATGTGCCTGAGGCAAAAAGGTCTAAATTGGAACCAAAGGCTGAGGTAGTAGTATTCTTGGGATACAATTTACAAGCAAAAGGATACAAAGTATTTAATCTGAAGTCTAAAAAAGTTCCAGTGGCCAGAGACATAAAGTTTGATTGCTGAAAATTTGAATAACTCTAAAAGTGAGCTTGTGAAGGAAGAAGCTGGACATTTGCTATGGTTGGAGGTTAGTGTTGTGATCCTTATTGAATTTTGATTTGGTGGGTTTATTTGCAGCGAAGAAAAATGCACTATTATCAAATAATAGTTGATATTTGCTCATATTTATTTATTGCTACTTTTACTATTATTCATTATTATGCATATATACATACATATGCATATGAATATATTTAACATATGGTATCAAAGGGAGAATAATCTCTGTCTAGCATATTTCAAATATAATTCTAATTGTATATTTAAATTTTTTTTTAAATATTATTTTAGAAAACTATTTAAGGAAATAATGAGCCAAATGCATTAATGATATATCTTTGTCATGTTTCCAAATTATTTGAATCTTATATGACATATATATTTGATTTGTTAAACTAAATATTTTTTGCCTTGTTTATATGCTTGAGCCCCAAACTAAGGTGGCGTTTGGTACATTACAATGCAATGTGATTACAGGTAATGTGATTGCAAGTAATGTGATTGCAAGCAATGTGATTACAGGGAAAATAACATTACAGTGTTTGGTATGTAAGTAAAATAATGATTAAAATGCAGGGAAGATAACATTGCAGTGTTTGGTTTACAAGTACTTTAGTGGAAATGTAATGCTAATTGTCAAAATTACCCCTAATTATTAAAAATATAGTTTAATATATTTATATTTTTATTATTAATTTTATATAATATCATTTTAAATATATTTTTAATATCATATATTTTATTTTTATTTATTATTATAATATTTTATATTTTATTTTTAATATATTTATATTTTTTATTAATTTTTATATAATATCATTTCTTAAATATATTTTTAATATCATATATTTTATTTTTATTTATTATTATAATATTTTATATTTTATTTTTAATATATTTATATTTATATTATTAATTTTTATATAATATCATTTCTTAAATATATTTTTAATGTCATATATTTTATTTTTATTTATTATTATAATATTTTATATTTTATTTTTAATATATTTATATTTATATTATTAATTTTTATATAATATCATATTTTAAATATATTTTTAATGTCATATATTTTATTTTTATTTATTATTATATTTTTATATTTTTTTTCATTTCTTTAATATATTTTTTATATTATATATTTTATTTTAATTTGTTTTATCTATATTATATAAATATTAATTTTATATTTTATTTTATTTTAATTTTTATTCTTATATTATATATTTATTTTAATATAATATTATAAAATATTTTTAATAAGATAATAAAGTTGAAGGGTAAATTTGTCTTTAAGAACATTGCAGAGTGCATGAATGTGATTGCATTGGTTTTGAACTGCAATCACATTACATCCATTGGCTGTAATGTGGATTACATTGCAATCTTACATTGCAGTGATTTGTTACAAAACAAACACTGCAATGTAATTTAATCAATCACATTACAGGTAATGTACTTTACATCCTTCAAAACAAACGGCCCCTAAGTGTTTTTCTATTTTTCTTTTTTTAATTAAAAAAAATGGTCCATAAACTCTTCCCTTTTATGTCTTGGACCACTTTACCAAATGGGTTCATTTTCAAGTTTGTTAAGCAACCTAATGCACTTTATCGGGCTTATTTGATTAGATAGTGTGAATCAAAATCTTAGATCTGTAGTCTGGATCAGAATAAAGAATATTAAATTTTATCTTTTTATGCTATTAGTCTGGGTCAGAGTACACAATATTGGGCTGAGCATATATATGTTATTAGTTTGGGTCAAAGATAAACAAATATTGAGTTTATTTTTATACAATTTGTTTGGATTAGAATAAATGGATATTGAGCTTAGTCTATTTATGTTTTTGTTTGGGTTTATTGGTTGTTAATTTGAATAAACCATTATGTATAGGTAATAAACCTAGAAAAGGTGAACTCGTTTAAATGAAGTTGATTTTGGATCTAATTTTGTTTTTTAGATCCAATTTGTTTGACTAAATTAATCATTGAAGGAGTTTAATTAGTCAAAATTAAGCTCATTTATTTATTTACTTTTATTTGGTCAAGATATTATTGGTATCATAAATTAATTGATATTTAGTTTACGTTTGTCTTGATTATTATAGTGATGTCATGTGATCGTAGATATTTACATAATTGAGATTAGCCACAGCATCTTAATTATGATAAGATATATATTAAAATATATATATTATTTATTTGGATCACA